CGCACGTGCGGTTGTCGCGCGCTTGGCCCCGGCCTGTCTTCGGCCTGTCCCGGGCTCGGGCTGAGGGAAGTGACGGGCCTGGGCCGCGGCGTGTAGTCCGCCCGGCCGCTGCAGGCCTGTGCCCGGGGGCCGCGGCCCCGCTGGGCGCTCCGGAGGTGAGGCGGGGGGCTTCGTCCTTCACAAATGCCATCAGGATGGGGAAGAAATGGGCAGCGCATAAGAACCGGGTCGACCCGCGGGTCCGCCTTGCCCAGCATCCCCGTGGTAGAGAGCGGATGGGAAAGGGAGAGTGAACTGGGGATGACTACAATTTTTCCCCCTGCTCTCTTTTTTGAGGTCTCCAGCATTTAAAGTCTAGGGAGTTGTGATTCGGAAGCCGTGCCCTTCACTCCCATGCCTCTTTCCTCCAAGAATTTGTCCAGTCCCTTTTTGATTCTACCTAAACTGTCACATTCTGCAAGCTGTCGTGGCAGAGATGCCTGTACTTGAATTAAATGCTGTGCAAATAAAAACTTACTTTTGATTGTTTTAAAATTACTGTTTACTAGTTTCATTTTGTGACCCCCTAAGTTCTCGTGTTGTGTGAGAGAGTAAATAAGTCCCTATTTACTTTCTCTTCATCATTTAGTCATTTGTAAGCCCTTACCGTGTTCCCCCTCAAGCTTTTCTTTTCTAAATTGATTAGGGTTAGCTCAGGGGTAGGCAGTTATTTGGGCTTGAGCTCCACTGAAGTAGTTTTGTTGAGCAGTTGGAGCGGCAAGAGGGGGATCCAATCGGTCTGTCTTGCACCCACTGCTGGGGGTGCCAGATAGAAAGGGTGGGTGGGGTTTACCTGGAGACAAGCCTGGGAACTGTGAGGGATCTGGTCCTTATTGTGGCAGCGCAGCTCTGGCCTCTTTCCTGCTGTCAGTCCTGATGCGTGTGTCACCTGCCTGGCAATGAGCTGGGCCATGGCTCAGCAAACCCCAGTGCAGCTGCTTGCAGCCTCTCCACAGCCTGCTGTGAGCAATCCTGGCTCCGTGGTGGGCAGCAAGGGCCTACTCAGGCCCTAGGCCAGCTGTAGCAGTCAGGCAGGAGCCTGTAAGCGGCTGCACCAAGGTCCATGCAGTTCTGGCCTGGCTCATTGCCAGTGGTGAATGCACATGTACCTCAGAAGGGACAGCAAGAAAGGGGCTGGGGCTGTACTGCCACAACAAGGTTCAGGCCCCTCGCAGCTCCTGGGCTTGTATCCATGGAGACCCCACCCACCCTTTGCATCTGACACCCCCAGTGCTAGGTGCAACAAGGATTTGGGCCCCTTACAGCTCACTGTCTGCCCCAGGTGCATGTGCACCCACTGTCAGCAACAAGCTGATCTAAGACCGTTCTGGCTGCCTGCCACAGCCAGCCAGCCTGGTCTCTGGGTAGGCCCTTGCTGCCTGTCATGGATCCCAGGCTGTTTGCGGCAGGGAGGATACAAGCAACTACACCAGTCTTTTTGGAGCTCTGGCTCGGCTTGTTGCTGTCAGTGGATGCAAGCACACTTCCAGGCAGATGGTGGGAGAGCTGCAAGGGGCCCCATTCTTATTGTGGCCCTGTAGCCCCTTCCCTGCTGTCCTCTGTGAGGTGCATGTGCCAAGCAAAATGCCTCTGTACACTATGCTCTGGCGCATGTGCTGGGGGCTGGCAACCCCTTCTCTAGTCTGTCATGTGGAAGCCCCTCTGTACCACTAATCATACTTGTTGTCCTTTTCTGGAACGTCTTTAATTCTTTTATCACTTTTTTGAGGTGTGGGGACCAGAATTGGGTATAGTATTCAAGGTGTACACACTCCATAAATTTATAAAGGGTCATAACGATACTTTCATTATCATACCGGCAGAGAACTAGTAGAGTCCTGGCTACATACCAAAGGGGCCAGGTACAGCAATGTGGGGTGCCAGGAGGACTGACCAGACCTGTATCATGGAGCACTTAATGTCTGTATAACATTGGCCCATTTCAGGCAGCTCTAAATTGGTGCAACAGGGTTGTATGTCTGTCTACTTTAGGTTTAAACTGCATTTAAATGGATCAGGGTTACATGTGTCCAGACCCTTAATCTGATAGCCATTAAAGTAACAGGTAGTGAGTGTTATGGTCATGAAGAATATAGGACTGTAGTTGCTTGCTTTCTATTTATGAAAGTAAAGGTTTAATTAATCCCCTAGCTTAACCAAGCAGCTTTTTTAATTAAAAAAAAATTTTTTTAGACATAATTATTTTATTATTTTAATACCTTAAACTTTGTTTTATTATCACAGGAGCTGAGCCAATGACTCTAGGTTCC